TGCCTCCTGCTCTCCTTGTCGCCCCGGTCCTTGCCCTGCGTCTTAGCCTGGCTTCCCGGTGGTCTGTATGCGGGGTCTGTCTGCTTCGGCTTCTGCTCTGCAGCCGCACCGCGCCCCTCCGCGCCCTGCTTCTGCCCTGCCGCTCAGCCCCCTCCGGGGGATGGCGCTGTGTTGCAGCACATTCGGCTGCGATGCCCCTTGCCTGCTGCCCCTCGGCGCCCCGCCTCTCTCGTTGGGAAGTTGGGGTGGGGGGGGGGCTGTCTCAGCTGCCTGCGAGGGTCGCACGGCTGGACACCCCTGAGGTGGTTCCCCTCGGAGGTTGGGCCAGGCGGGGTCGACCGCCCTCAGCCTGCTGCGGCTGGAGCCGGGGCTGCTACCGGCGGCCACGGAGAGCATCTCTGCCAGCACCGTCTCAGTCAGGGGGGAGAATGGGCAGACGGGTCCGCCAGCGTCGGGGCCCCTGCCTGTTGCGTCTTGCAGGCGTGCGCACGCGTCATCCGCCGTCAGGGCTGCGCCTCTTGATACCACGTTCCTTCCATTGGGGCCCCTTGTGCCAACTGGTAGGTGGCACGCCCAGAACGCCTTGAAGGGGGCGATCAACCTGTGCGAGATAAATGCCCTGGTGAACACTTGTCGTAATTGCTTCTCATGTTGCAGCATACAAGTGCCCCAGGCTATGGCGCTCAGTACTGTCCCCCATTTCACTTCGTCTGTGCGCCCCAGCCCGGCCCAATAGGTCGGAAGGCCGAGGGTGCGGAAGCCCGCCGCGCTGCCAAGGAGTTGCTCCCATTGGCGCCTCATGGAGGGTGGCAGGTGTGCGCTTGCTCTGGGGGCATCGCCTCTCCCGAGCGGGTCTCCGTTTGGTGTTCGGGCGACGCTGTCTGGAGGAGGCCTTGGTCTCCCCGCTTGTGATTGCGGTGCGCCTTCTGCTAGGGCCTCGCCCGCTGGTTCGCGCGGGGCTGGGCCACCCCCTTCGGCGTTACCTGCGGGGAGGTTTCTGACCGCCTGGGGGGCAGGTGTAGTTCACACCGGGTGTGTGGTCCCTGTCTCCCTTCGCTGAGGGGCCGGGTGCTGCGGGCATTGCCCTTGTTGGTGTTGCGCTCCCGTCAGTGTTCCAGCCCGTGGTGGGGCCTGAGGTCGCGGGCTCTGCTGACCTGCGCGCTCTGCCCCGTGGCGCCTGCCCTCATTCTCCTGGCTGGGGGCGCTTGTCGCCCCCGTGTCTGGGGCGGCGCTCGCGCGGGCGTTTCCTGGAGATGCCGACGGAGTGGCGCTGCCCTCGCCGATGCCTTCCCCTTCTCGGTGTCTAGGGATTCCCGTTGGGGACTGGGCCCCTTGGCTGCCCTGGCCCCCGGTCTGCGGGGTGCCTGTCTGTGCCCCAGGGGAGGGGTTTGATTGTCGATTCGAGGGGCCGTTGGGAGGGGTCTGCACGCCCTGTGTGCGTGCGCACGGTCTTCTGTTCGAGGGCCGCCTTGCCCTCTGTCGCGCGTCCCTTGTGGCAGTTCCTGCCTGGCCCGTGCGTTCCGCACTCTGGCCTCACTAGTGGGGTTCACTGGATTGTTTCTGGAGGTCCTTCGTGGCCTGGGCGCTCTCCCCGGGTCGCGTCGCAGTCTATCCTGGCTGGCGGCCCTTCGGAGCCTCTCGTCTAGGGCTTGGATACCTTCAAGCGTACCTGAGGCCATCCTGTGAGCCACACCAGGCTAAGGGTGTTCTCGGCCTCAATCGGCTCCGCAGGAGCAAGGTTACACCTCAAGGCTCCCAGAGGGAGTGGACAGTAGGGACAGAGCGAGCCTGGCAAGCGCCCCACCCCCAGACATCCACGAGAAAATGGCCACGCGAGGTGGACAGCACCATGAGCGGGCCGCTCGCCACCAGGAGGGTGGCCACAGAGAACAGGGACGGACTACGGGGCTACAGCACCATACTCCACCCTGGAGAGCACCTCTCAGCAGCGGTTGCGACAGGAGGGGCAATGTCCATCATCACCTGTGTGGAGTATGGCCACCTACACACGTCGACCCCCATGTGGGTCACCATCGCCCCACCAGCCGAGGCCGATCTGAGAGCAGCCTACAGAGGCGCCGACCGACCGCAGATAAGGGTAACCATTCAGTTGCTACACGGACCCGTGCATCTAGCAAAGCTGGACGCCACGCAAGCACCTGCACCGACTCCCAACGAGCTAGGAATTGGCACCAGCCAACCTCACAGCACGACCATACCTCCAAGAAGACACGGTGCGGTGGATTCACTCCCAGGCCCGGTTCGCCCGAGAACGTACCCCCCTTCGCAGAGGTGCTCACATACAAAACCCGTCACAGGACGCAGACAGGAGGCACCCTGGTCAGAGCAAAAACCGATGCCGCAGCGTGCGCACAAGGCATGCTCGGCCGGCTCCAGGCGCGCATTGACGAGCAGAGCATTCACGACCTGGCAAGAAGCATACAAACCAGATTAGTATTGGAGCAAAGACGACAGGAAGAGGGTAGAACCATCAGAAGATATAACTGGGACCTCTTTGCAGCGATCTGGATCATTCAGCTGACGGACCCGGCCACGCTGGACAGGGGCCACCTCCACCAGCTCATCAGGGAGCTTGGAATCAAGGAGGAGGTCACCAGGCAGCTCCCCCTCGCGCAATGGCTCTCCCCAGAACCGGACCCCACGTACACTGCCCATCACCCCTGGCTGGAGGTCCCAGGGGGCAGAGGGGCAGACGCTGACAGTGTCACAACAGGGGGCCCACGGGCCCAGACGCAGTGGCCGCGGGCGGGGGGAGCCGACCTGCCTCAAGTCCCTGCTCGTCAAACGCTGTAATCTCCAATATCTGCGGCTGCACTGCCCTTCTGGGGGCCTGCCGAACTGCCTCCTCGGCTATGGCTGCGATGTGCTCTGTTTGGGCCCTGGGAGTTCCCGCGTCCCCTCTGATCTGTTATCTTGAAGGGGTGGCCGGGAACATCCTTACCACTTGCGACCCCACTGTGATGCAGCTGGCCCCGCAGAAGGCTGCCGACATGTTGGCAGCGGCACTGAGACGGATCCTTACCTGCGTCACGTGGGCGTACTCGCCTGTGTTTGGGAACCAGGCAAAACACCGTGGAGACCTGCTCGACCGTTCCAGAGCCTATTGTGGCCTCTACTGCACACATGATTTCTTGACGACTAAGCTGCCCAAGGTCTGCGAGGTTCCATCGGAGGTGGTGGCCCTCCTCTGGGTCGGTGAGTCTGATGAATGATGGGCCGCCGCCCCAGTTCCCTTCCATGTGGATCCTTCGGGGGCAGCGCGCAGGAGAGCCGCTCGCCGGTCCGAATACCCGGAGAAGCTTCTCCTTAAGGTATCGCAGTATGGGCGCAGCTACCTTTTCGGGGGTCTTCAGTAAGAGGATTCCCCCCCCCTCGAGGCCAGCTCTGTATCCTAGAGCTGCCGCCGCCTCTGCGGCCATTGTCAGAGCGATGCAGGTGGCGGCGGAAAAAATTGGGATGTGCACGGAGTCGGACGCCTCGCTGGACCTCCAGGTGTTTCCGTTGTTGTTGGTCGCCAAAGCGGCTTGAGCCGCAACCTGGAGGGCCGGCCTCTATATGTGAGTCGCCCGGGGTCTGGCCTTGCGTCGTCCTGTCAGGAGGGCACCTGACCACGTGGTGGTGTAGTGGCTCTAGACCCTCTCTTAGGAGTGGGGATATTTGTGTTTTTTTTACAGCCGCAGGCAGAAGCGCCAGCGGCGGGAGGTAGGAGTGGGGATACGCGAAGCGTCAAAAATTGGTTTCGCAAAGCATCATCAAAGCCACAAAAGTTCCGTTACTTACCCCAACATAGTACAGATTGTTGAACTCTGATGGAGGCCGCAGTTCCAACGGTGAGCGCTTGGCTTCAGAACGCAGTGAGATCTCCGATTAGCAAATCCCCCCGAAATGAACAGAACCCGCCCCCCCATCGAAACCGGAGCCCCCCCAATCGCCGTCGCAATCGTCATCGTCGTTGTCGCCGTCGTCGTCCTCCTCATCCTCGTCGTCGCCGCCGTCGTCGTCGTCCTCGTCGTCGTCGTCGGTCGTCAGCGGCCGCGCGCCTGCGGGCCATGCCGCCGCGGTCGCCCGATAGGCCCCGCGGCAGGAGCGGCACCAAGCGCGCGGGGGCACGCAGGGGAAACAGCAGCAACGGCGATCAAAAGATCCGGTACGATGCCCTTGGCCCAAGAACCCCCAAAAGACCGCCCAAGGAGAGCCCCGAGAGGCCTCCGAGACGGCCAAGATGGCCTCCAAGACGGCTAAGACGGTCCCAAGATGCCTCCAAAACGGCCCAGGATGCACCCAAGACGGCCTAAGACGGCCCCATGATGGCCCAAGACGACCCAAGAGGCACTCAAGACCCAAGAGGCCCCCAAGACTGCCCAAGAGGCCTCCAAGAGGTCCTCCGGGATTGCCCGAAGAGGCCACAATCATAGATTTCCCTCGGGGGTTCGAAGGAGTGTTGCATTTGCTTCTTCACGGCATTCCGACGGCTCAGGACGGCCCAAGACGCCCCCAAGATCGCCCCAAGATCGTCCACGAGGCCTCGAAGATGGACCCATGACGGCCCAAGAGGCTCCCAAAAGGGCCCCAAGACGGCCCCAAGAGGCCTGCAAGACGGCCACGATGGCCTCTAAGACAGCCCTGGGATGCCACTAGAGGGCCCCAAGACGACCCAGGCAGGCCCCCAAGACGGCTTCCGACGGCGTCAGACAAGCCAGGAACGCGCTTGGACGGCCAAAGAGGCCCCCAAAGGCCTTTCGAAAATCGTCCAAAAGGCGCCCGGGAAGCCCCCATGAGGCTCCAAGAGTGCCCCAAGAGGGGCCTAAGAGGCATCCTCCTCCTCCTCCTCCTCCTCCTCCTCCTCCTCCTCCTCCTCCTCCTCCTCCTCCTCCTCCTCCTCCTCATCCTCCCTTTTCCTCCTCCCCCCCCTCCCTCCTCCTCCCCCTCCTCCTCTTCTTGCCCTCCCACGCGTTCCCCGAAGACTTCCCAAACCGACTCGGGGAACAACCGGCCCGATAGTTTGGCCGAGCTCTGGCCCAGCTGTCGGCCACTGAGGCGCTTCCAAAGGGGCAAGGGGCGGCGGTGAGTCGCCGTAGGCGTCTTCGTTAAAAACCACACAGGTGCCCAACAGTACCAAGTATGCATAACGGCATTTGAATCAACATCGTTTTTTGTGCAAACCGCGGTGCCGCGGTGCGAGCGAACTAGTATTTATGCGGGACCCATGGATGTGCAGGCAATTGGATGCATGCGCTATACAGCCCCTGTCAGCTGGCAGTTCAAAGTCGGATCTACAGCTGCCAGTCACCTGGGTGGCCGTCAACTGCAGATGCTTGCACGTCCGTGCGTGGCGAACTCATGGTTGCAAAAACTTTGCCCTCGTTGACACGTCAACAGACGTGCCAAAGTCTGAAGGCACGGGCGTTGCGATCGGCGAACCCTCTTCTCTCGCAAAAGTGCGCAGGATGAAAAGCGGGAGTTGATCGGGTCGGGGAGGTGCACACACTAGGTATTCGAGATCAAACAGATGCGCCATCGCTGCCATTGCAAGACGGAAACCAAGGGCCCTGACTTGACGCAGGCGAGTCTCGATGCAGACACAGGCAACGTAAGCAGCGTGCGCATTGAAGCGGCGCCCTCTGGCCAGCACGGAAAATTAACAAGATGAATCACGCTCACATGAGAGCTGCGACGCCGGTCTCACAGCCGTCCCAGCCATCGTCTGCGCTCGGGCACGGGAAAATCTTGTCCCCCCCGTGCTGCCCGGGCGTGCGGGGGCAGCACTGGTTGCCGGCACACGAGGTGTTGCTCCCTGGGCACGTCACCGTATCAGCTTGCACGAGAGCTGCGACGCCGGTCTCGCAGCCGTCCCAGCCATCGTCTGCGCTCGGGCCTTGTCCCCGCTCGGGCAAGGGAAAGTCTTGTCCCCCCCGTGCTGCCCGGCCGTGCGGGGGCAGCACTGGTTGCCAGCACATGAGGTGTTGCTTCCTGGGCACGTCACCGTATCAGCTTGCACGAGAGCTGCGACGCCGGTCTCGCAGCCGTCCCAGCCGGCATCCGCGCTCGGGCACGGGAAAGTCTTGTCCCCCCCGTGCTGCCCGGGCGTGCGGGGGCAGCACGTTGCCAGCACATGAGGTGTTGCTCCCTGGGCACGTCACTCGTATCAGCTTGCACCGGAGCTGCGACGCAGTCTCCATCAGCCGGCGTCCGCGCTCCAGGGAAAGTCTTGTCCCCCCCGTGCTGCCCGGGCGTGCGGGGGCAGCACTGGTTGCCGGCACATGAGGTATTGCTCCCTGGGCACGTCACCTCATCAGCTTGCACGAGAGCTGCGACGCCGGTCTCGCAGCCGCCCAAGCCGGCATCCGCGCTCGGGCAAGGGAAAGTCTTGTCCCCCCCGTGCTGCCCTGGCGTGCGGGGGTAGCACTGGTTGCCCGCGCATGAGGCGTTGCTCCCTGGGCACGTCACCGCATCAGCTTGCACGAGAGCTGCGACGCCGGTCTCGCAGCCGCCCCAGCCGGCGTCTGCGCTCGGGCAAGGGAAAGTCTTGCCCCCCCCGTGCTGCCCGGGCGTGCATGGGCAGCACTGGTTGCCGGCGCATGAGGCGTTGCTCCCTGGGCACGTCACCGCATCAGCTTGCACGAGAGCTGCGACGCCAGTCTCGCAGCCGCCCCAGCCGGCGTCTGCGCTGGGCACGGGCAAGGGAAAGTCTTGCCCCCCCCGTGCTGCCCGGGCGTGCGGGGGCAGCACTGGTTGCCGGCACATGAGGTATTGCTCCCTGGGCACGTCACCTCATCAGCTTGCACGAGAGCTGCGACGCCGGTCTCGCAGCCGCCCAAGCCGGCATCCGCGCTCGGGCAAGGGAAAGTCTTGTCCCCCCCGTGCTGCCCTGGCGTGCGGGGGTAGCACTGGTTGCCCGCGCATGAGGCGTTGCTCCCTGGGCACGTCACCGCATCAGCTTGCACGAGAGCTGCGACGCCAGTCTCGCAGCCGCCCCAGCCGGCGTCTGCGCTCGGGCAAGGGAAAGTCTTGCCCCCCCCGTGCTGCCCGGGCGTGCATGGGCAGCACTGGTTGCCGGCACATGAGGTGTTGCTCCCTGGGCACGTCACCGTCAACTTGTACGAGAGCTGCGACGCCGGTCTCGCAGCCGCCCCAGCCGGCGTCTGCGCTCGGGCACGGGCAAGTCATGTCCCCCCCGTGCTGCCCGGGCGTGCGGGGGCAGCACTGGTTGCCAGCACATGAGGTGTTGGTCCCTGGGCACGTCACCGCATCAGCTTGCACGAGAGCTGCGACGCCGGTCTCACAGCCGTCCCAGCCGGCATCCGCGCTCGGGCAAGGGATAGTCTTGTCCCCCCCGTGTGGCCCGGCCGCCGTGCGGGGGCAGCACTGGTTGCCTGCACATGAGGTGTTGCTCCCTGGGCACGTGACCGTATCAGCTTGTACGAGAGCTGCGACGCCGGTCTCGCAGCCGTCCCAGCCGGCGTCTGCGCTCGGGCACGGGAAAGTCTTGTCCCCCCCTCCCCCCGTGTGCCCAGGCGTGCGGGGGCTGCTCTGGTTGCGGCACATGAGGTGTTGTCCGTGGCAGTCACGTATCAGCTTGCAGAAGGGCTGGCCTGGGAGCGGAACGTCCCAGCCAGCAGCCGCGCTCGGGCACGGGAAAGTCTTGTCCCCCCCGTGCTGCCCGGGCGTGCGGGGGCAGCACTGGTTGCCGGCGCATGAGGTGTTGCTCCCTGGGCACGTCACCGTATCAGCTTGCACGAGAGCTGCGACGCCGGTTTCGCAGCCGTCCCAGCCGGCATCCGCGCTCGGGCACGGGAAAGTCTTGTCCCCCCCGTGCTGCCCGGGCGTGCGGGGGCAGCACTGGTTGCCGGCACATGAGGTGTTGCTCCCTGGGCACGTTGTCCGCGCCAGCGTAGCTCCGAAGCGTGAGGCCCGGCTCTGCAGAAGCGCGGAGGTATCGGCCTCATCGGTGAGGCCCGGCTCTGCAGAAGCGCGGAGGTATCGGCCTCATAGGTCGGGCACGTGCCGTCGGCGACGCACCCCGCGTCCGCCAGCGCGCGGGCGGACAGCAGTAAGATGGCCAGGGTGAAGCGAGCCATGGCCCCCAGTGGGAAAGCTACTCGGCGCGCCTGTGTCTCCAACCGCTCTGCGGATGCCGCGGGCCAAGCCTGAGCCAAACTGGTTACGGACTATCAGAAGAGCCATGTTGAACGCGTCTCCCCCAATGGTCTGAAGAATGCGGCAGAAGGCAGCTTCCCTTTGGGGGTCTCAGGACTCCTGCCCCTCCACGGACATTCGATACTACTCTCTCCCTCCGAAGGAGGCGATCCCTCCTGAAGCGCCATGAATCAAAGCTCCCCAGGCCACGATTCGTGCAACGGATTTCGAAACCCTGGCGCTGGGGAGCGAAGCCTTCGGGTCCCCAGCCCACAATTTATGCATGATGGCCGCGACCCAGACCGAAAACCGAGAACCGGACTTCGACCCGAACCTGCCAAACCGGACCTGCCCTCGACCTGAACCAGCAGAAGCGAATGAAGCGAACCCAACCGCCGGCCCGACGAACCGAACCTGCAAGACCGAATCGGCTCGCCGAACCGAGCCGGCCGAACCGAACCAGCGGCTCAGCAGCAGGAGCAGCAGCAGGAGGAGCAGGACGGGAAGCAGGAGGGGGAGCAGCAGGAGGAAGCAGGAGGGGGAGGAGGAGCAGCAGGAGGAGGAACAGCAGGAGGAGCAGGGGAAGGATCGAGAGGGAGGACGGCCGAGGGGCCCCCGAGGGGCCCCCGAAAGGCCCCCGAGGAGCCCACGAGGGGCCTCCGAGGGGCCTGGGCGTATCCTCAGGTCCTTTGTCTCATCCTCTGAACCTCACTTCTCACTCCTGGGGGTTGATTCTTGAAGAAGCACCTGGACCCCTCGCTTCAAATCTCTCGGGGCTTCTCGCATCTTGTCGCAGCTTTCCGCGTGACTGTTTCGCCGCCCAGAGTCAAGAGGGCCCCAAAATGGTCCAAGAGGAGCCCAAGAGGCTGCCAAAATGGTCCAACAATGCTCCGAATCGCCGAAAGATCGCTTCAAAACGCCCAAGATTATCCTAAAACGGTACAAGAGCCCTTAAGACGCCCCAAGAGAGCCCCAAGAGCCTCTCCCAAACAAAAACAAACAAACAAAAACATTAGATTCCCTCAGGCGTATGATGAGTTTACCGCTCTCGCCTTTTCGGCTTCCCGACGCGCCGAGACGGCCCAAGAAGCCCACAGGACCACCCCAAGACAACCCAAGTGGCCCCCAAGAGATCCCCAAGACGGGCCCAGAGGGCCCCGAGACGGCCCAACAGGCGCCCAAGACGGCCCAGTCCGAAGACAGCACCAAAAGGCGCCCAAGACACGAACCGAAAATCCGAGCTTTCTGGACCAAGTAGTCCCCAGGAGGCCCCACGAAGCCCACAGGAAGCCCTAAAAGGCCACCAGAACGCCTCCAAGAGGCCCCAAGAGGCAACCAAGAGGCCCCAAATAGGCCCCCAGAAATCTGCCTCCCAACGGGCCCGCGAGAAGCCCCCCGCGAGATCCCACGAACATCAAAGCGGCCTCACACCCACAACCCAGGCCCAGGCATTGTGGCGGGATGGGCCGAAGGTCACTAGATACTGGAGGCCTTCCGAATCTTCTGAAAAGGCTGGCCCCCCCTCTCTTCCCCCCGAGGCTCGCCGCCGAGCGCGAGGGACAATAAAGCAAGGGCTGCTCGCTTGTCGGCGGGACCTTGGCTCGAAGCCGCCTCAAGACGGCCCACGAGGCCCCAAAAGGCCCCCTAAAAGCCCCCAAGAGGTCCCCAAGAGGCCCCCAGGGGCCCCAAAGAAACTCCCAAGAGGCCGCCGAATGAAGCCCCAAACGGCCGCAAAAACAAAAACAAAAAACATCGCGGAACTACATACAAATAGCGCGCTTTTGATATGCTCGTCGCAGTTCGAACTTGGCGCTGCCTCATGCTGACACGCGGTGAACATTCATCGCCCGTGGACATTCGCACGCTCGCCCCAGCGCTGAAACGGCGGGGACGCATCCGCCCCCGAGACGCTGGCAGCGCCCCAGGGCGGCCAGAACTTTGCGGTAGACGCGCAGGGCAAACCACCCAACGCCCAGTGTGTTGGTGTTCCAAACGTGCCCCCCGCGAAGCGAAAGGAATAATTCATCCTGTGAAGGACAGAACGCGTGCAACCTACGCCGGGATACCCTCTATAAAAGGAACACGGTGGGCGGACGCGGCGACCAGCAACCAGCCGAGGGCGGGGCGTGTTACGTGCGCCCGGTCACCGACGCGGAGGGTCGCGCGTTGAGTGGGTGGGCACCGTTGGGCTGTCGCTGGAGCCGAATACGGTCGGGAATTGTTGCTTAACGTGTCGAAAACGGCGGCCCTGAGTCTTTCCTCTGAGAATCGGGGTAAGATGCCAAAGGAATTAAGATCTCATGTTCACTCTGCTCAGGGAGAGAGGGGACGGGATGTGACATCGATAAGACAAGTATCCGGTAAGCAAGTTTACTATGTCAGGAATGGTAAAGGAGGTGGCCGGCCGGCCAGCGACACGACAACGACGCGGGGGCGACCCCGCGGCGCGCGCGAGCGGGCTAGCTCGCACCTCTTCTCTCCTGCAAGCAAACGAATAGCTCGCTTGAGTAAACAAACAGCTGCAGTATGCAGCGCAAGTTCAAGTCAGACAGTGCACAACATGCAAGTGTAAGAGCATGCGATATTAATATGAGGCAGAGTGGGGCAGATTTACTCCCCCCGCGGCGGGCCTTGTAGAGCCCATCCGGCCACAGCACCCCTGGCATATACATATACACAACCACCGGAGCCAACCGCAAAAGAATTTTACGGCTCAACGGTGGCTGCCAGGGGGCCAAGGGCCGAAGAGGCCCGACGACTCCCACCATCATATAAACAAATCCCACCAGCCCTTTGGGCGTGAGTGGTTTAGAGAGCTCTCTCTGTCCTCAACCCCCCAACCCCCCTTCTTCCCCTTCGGGGAGGGGTTTACCCCTCCCCCTACCCCCTCCCCCTGGGCCTGGACAGGGAGTCCCGAGTGTTCTCAGGGGGGTCTTTTTCGACTCCTGGGAGGGCCAACAAACGACTACCCTCACGAGGATTCTGGCCCCGAGGGGGGGAGGGAGTTTGGCGCCTGAACTCGTCGTTGAAGTAAAAAACATTGATTTTACTACGGTTTTGGCACCATTTTGGCCTTCCGAGGGGGCCGCGTTCCTCTTCCTTCTTAGCAGAATCATTGATTTTACGAAGGTGTTGGGCTGATTTTGTCCTTCGCAAGGGCTCGCGCTTCATTTGCCCCCCCCCCCCGTTCTCTGCGGAGGTCGCAAGAGGCCCCCCGTCGGGGCCCCAAGGTGCCTCCCAGAGGCTCCCAAGAGGCGTCCAAGAGGCTCCCAAGAGGCCCCCAAGAGGCCCCCAAGAGGCCCCCAAGAGGCCCCAAGAGGCCCCCAAGAGGCCCCCAAGAGGCCCCACGAGGAGCCCGAACGACTCACACCAGGACGAGGGGCCCGAACGACTCACACCACGAAGAGCCCGAACGACTCACACCACAACGAGGGGCCCGAACGACTCATACCAGGACGAGGCGCCCGACCGACTCACACCACGAGGACCCCGAACGACTCACACCACGACGCGGGCCTCGAACGACTCACACCACGAGGAGCCCGAACGAGTCACACCAGGAGGAGGGGCAGCGCTCATACAAGCCCCCCAAGAGGGCCCCCAGAGAACACCGTATGGCCCCAAGAGGTCCCCAGATGGTCCAGATGGCCCACAGGAGGTCCCCAGGAGGCACCACGAGGCCTCCATGAGGCCCCCGAGATACCCCCAAGAGGTCCCCAAGAGGCCCCACGAGGCGCCGAAGACGCCCCAAGAGGCCTCCGACTCACATCACGAGGAGCCCGAACGACTCACACCACGACGCGGGCCTCCAACGACTCACACCACGAGGAGCCCGAACGAGTCACACCAGGAGGAGGGGCAGCGCTCATACAAGCTTCCCAAGAGAGCCCCCAGAGGTCATTGATTTTACTACGGTTTCGGCCCCATTTTGCCCTTCTGAGGGGGCAGCGCTCCTCTTCCTTCTTCTCAAAATCATTGATTTTACGAAGGTTTTGGGCTAATTTTGTCCTTCGCAGGGGCTCGCGCTCATTTGCGCTTCTGCGGAGGTCGCAAGAGGCCCCCAAGAGGCCCCAAGATGCCTCCCAGAGGCTCCCAAGAGGCGTCCAAGAGGCTCCCAAGAGGCCCCCAAGAGGCCCCCAAGAGGCCCCCAAGAGGCCCCAAGAGGCTCCAAGAGGCCCCCAATAGGCCCCACGAGGAGCCCGAACGACTCACACCAGGACGAGGGGCCCGAACGACTCACACCACGAAGAGCCCGAACGACTCACACCACAAGGAGGGGCCCGAACGACTCATACCAGGACGAGGCGCCCGACCGACTCACACCACGAGGACCCCGAACGACTCACACCACGACGCGGACCTCGAACGACTCACACCACGAGGAGCCCGAACGAGTCACACCAGGAGGAGGGCAGCGCTCATACAAGCCCCCCAAGAGGGGCAGCGCTCATGCAAGCCCCCCAAGAGGGCCCCCAGAGGTCCACCGTGTGGCCCCAAGAGGTCCCCAGATGGTCCAGATGGCCCACAGGAGGTCCCCAGGAGGCACCACGAGGCCTCCATGGGTAGGCTGCGAACCCAGGGGGGCCTACGACTTTCAATGTTGACTCTGAGCCCTTGTGGGGCTGCCAGCGTTGACCCCTATGCCTCGCGAAGGAGGCCCTGTGGCCTTCTTCGTCGCCGTCGCAGCCGCCGCCGCCGTCATCACCGCAACCTCCCAATGCGTACATGGTAATTGCCGCCGCTGCCGAAAAGGAGGGGGAGGAGGAGGAACAGGAGGATGAGAAGGGCGCTACTACCACCAACAGCAACAGCACCAGTACAGCACCAACAGCAACAGCACCAGTACCACCAACAGCAACAGCAACAGCACCAGTACAGCAACATCACCAGTACAGCACCGAAGCTGTTTGTGGTTCGTAGGTGCTGCTGCCCGTCTTGATAT